TCACTTCTCAATTGTGACAGCTGCTTTAAAAGATTATTTGAGACACTCTGCTTCCTAGCGATGAATGTGATGACAAGCAAAAAAGATCAGCTTTCTAGTTTCCATGGGTTTTTGATAACTGTTGGACAAAAGCTTGGCTTTGCAGCAGGTGCTGGCTTTACCTATAATCCCGGAATGTGTAAGCGGGAGGCTCCTTCCAACATTCATTGGCCTCTGGATCCAACAGGCAGTTGTCAGCATGGATGGGATGACTGAGGTCATTTCTTCTATCCTGTTGACCTGCCAGAAGAGGGAACAGGGAAGAATGAAAGGAGGGTGTTAACCTCCTACAGCAAAAGTGACCATCAGACTGCCTTCTCCCATTGCTGGTGCCCTTGTAAATCTGAAGATACAGAAAGCTGAACACAACAGATGAAGGAACACTGGGCAAGCAGTCAAGAGACTCTACTTTGGCCCTGCTTTGATATGAGCCTGATGTAAAACTGTAAGCAAGTCACACCTGCTGCTGCAGCTATAGAAGCTATCTGCTATAAATAGACATTCCATGCATTTCACAGGTTGTACTTCATGGGGAGCAGTAATAGGAGGAGGATGAAATAAAAATGTAAAAAAAAAAAAAAAAAAAAAGATTTGATTCAATTGAACTGTCCCAAGTGTAAAAGTCTTGCCCTGTGACATTATCCATTCCCTCCTACGCTGAAGGGGTGTAAGGGAAAGTCTAGAGAAGAAATAATGACAGCAGGTTGTGAGGGGGTCTCTGACTTTTTAAGAATATTTATTTCAACAACCCCTTCATCTTCTACATTACCACTCAATGCTTATGGATGTAATAGGAGACTAATTTCTAGGTTCCTAGTTCCCTGAAAAGTAAAAGCGAGAACAGAAACGCATTTTTCTGTGCAAACAAGAAAGTAGGAGAAGTTGATTTAAATGGGGAAAAAGGTACAGTTTTGGTCTGCTGGTACTTTATGGGATAAAAAAGGAGAAAAAGAGGGAAAGGAAAATAAGAGCTATCCAGTTTCTTTTGTTTTTGGAAATTTAGAACTCTTCTAAACCATTTGTAATGGATTTTTTTTTTTTTTTTTTTTGAGCATTGCTTTCTTTCTCAGCTCTCTGTGGGTAGACGGAACAAGTTCAGACTCTGAAATCTCACCAGACAGGGCTGTTCGGCAGACCATGTGCGTATAGGAAAAATACAGGGTTGAGTTCAGCATGAAATAGGATTCTACAATCTTTCGAGCCTTCTCGCTGATATCATAAAACAGGCGTGCACTCTTCAGTGGGACTCGGCCTTCATAACCAAACTGAGGAGAAAGGAGAACATTAGATACCATGGGGTTGATTGGAGAGCTGGAGAAAAACAGATGCTCGGTTTCAGTCAGCCAAGGTACAATGGTCATCTCTGCATTGGTTAGTGGGAATACTACTACACGCTTGTGGACTTGGGTTAGGAAAATGAACCATTGAAAGGAGCCTTCCTAATCACAGAGAGAACATGAAGAGCTAATCACTCCCTTTTCTCTCCTAACACTCTCCTCATTCCTCTCTAACAACATTTCTTGAAATATGGAACAATTACTTATTTGGGTATGTTTTCACCATTAGACCATGAGCTCCTTGAGAAAGGGGTGGCATGGGGGGATGGGAGCTGTCTGTGATTAGTCAGATACAAATTTAGAAAAGATTAAGTTTGACAAATAGATGATAAATAGATAAATGAAGAAGGATTTAATGCGATGCAGGTGCCATTTCATATTTGCTCCCTTCAAATGTCCTGATAAAACTGTATTCTAAGCTCTTTTCTTTCCTTTGTCTGCCATTCACAGAAGGTCCTGGATTAACACTTAGGAACCCACACCCCAAACAAGTTAAGACTTTACTTTGAGTGCTTTCAGGACAGTTGCGCCTTCAAACTTTTCATTGGGTGTATGAGGTGAAGTTTTCCCTCTGTATCCATCGCCAACAATCATGATTCCCTAGAAGTACAATACAAGAAGATGTTTTCTTAATGATAACTCTGAATGCATCAGGTCTTCCTTTCTGCCTTGATTTCCAGGAAGCTAAGAACCAAAGTCATCCCCATTTTGTTCTAGGATCCTGGTATCATTCATTTTTCCAAGCAAAAGGGATATGCTAGTATTTATTTTACTTTTACACTCAATTTTTATTACAAAACACCACTTTTTGTAGAGATATGTAGACTAGAAATGATTAAATGTTGGTTATTATTGATTAAAATAAAGGAATTTCTCGGTGACTTTATATGGTAGACAGGGCCCATGCTGGATGATGTCTGTCCTGGGAATTTAGCTGCTAACTATTCCAGATCCACTAGCCATATTCAGATCTGGACAAAACTAACATCTCAATCCAAAGGCTATGAAAGTGCCTCTGCAATCAATGTCCTTCTCCCAGAGAAAGTGACATTGCAGGCCTGGTTCTCTGGCTCCAGGTGAGACCAGACCCAAAGCACTTGCAGGCTCACAGCAGGCCAGCATAGTCAGGTCCCGCCCTCCCAGGGGTCCTCACACTGGCCACGCTGTGCAGCTCCCGGCACTGATCTTCTGACAGGACGTTATCCAGGAGGACCCGCTGAGTCCCGTTTAGCTGCTCTGAGTTGTAGACGAAGGTGATGTTCTCGTAGATCAGAGGGCCACCTGAAGGGACAGAGCACATTGTCTTCTCTGTTACCTCCGTCACCAAGGGGAAGCACAGAACACCCACCAGCTAGCAATGTGCAGCTGAGGAGAGCCAGTACCCTCATGAATATTTAGGACTGCTATGACAAATGACAAATTCAGAATCTGATAAACACAATGTGGATTCAAGAAAAGGGCAGCTGTGTGACTACCAGGCTTTTCCAAAATGACAGGATGATATATTATATTTGCATAGTATCTTGTATTTGATAAAATATCTTTTTATTTGTTTCCGGTGACAATCCAGCAAAGCAGACTGGGCATCTCACAGGATTCTCCCCTAGGAAGAATTTCCAGGATTCTCTCCATAACTGGACCCACCCGGCTCCACAGCCTTTGGTTCCTACCATTGTTATAACATCATATGCAATTACTCCATGACATGCCTCGTGCCCAGGCGTGACATAAACATCAGTTTCATGGCTATGTAGAGCAATGCCTTCACCAGGAAGTCCAGGTAAGGATCCAGTAAATGCACCACCAGTAAGTACAGTCGCACCCAAGTCACCCAACTCCTTCCAAGTCTTCTTTCCACCACTACCTGACTCTATATCAGTGGTTCTCAATCTTCCTAATGCCGCGACCCTTTAATGCAGTTCCTCATGTTGTGGCCCCCAATTTTATTGTTACAAATTGAACATAATTAAAGCATAGTGATTAATCACAAAAACAATATGGAATTATATATATATGTGTTCCGATGATCTTAGGCGACCCCTGTGAAAGGGTTGTTTAACCCCAAAGGGGTCGCGACCCACAGGTTGAGAACCGCTGCTCTATATGGTCTTGTTTTTGGAATATTTATTGTACTCTGCTCTATGGACATATCGTTATATCACTGCCTTTGCATCGGATGGTTTCCTGCAGGCACCTCTCTCTCCCTGGATGGGGTCCACAACTTTAGGAAATTAGCCCCACACAGGCTCTTCAGAGAATGACGCATTTGGACCATGTTTAGGTGGTGAAATGATAAAATCTAGATCTGACAAGATCTTTTCCTCACAGAAAGTAGGATTAAAGGACAAAACCTCTGACGGTGAGGAAATCTTCAAATGTAACCGTGTGTAACCATCTGGATTCGAACCAGAAAAGTGAACAGAAAAGAAAAACACTGTTTTTCTACTCTTTACAGTACTCCTAAGGGACCTGACATATACCTGTCAATAACAATAACTCGCCCCAGAGGGAGTGGTGGGGAGGGCACAACTCCTCCCTTCCGCCCGAGGTGACCAAGCAATGGTCTTGAGCATGCAGGTCTAAAACATGTCAGTTGAAGGGAGAAGAGACAATTGATGTCCACTATATCACTTTAAAATAGAGTAGTCAAACTAGGGAGCAGCACTAAGTGTTCATTAATCTTCTTAGGATAAAATAATCACTATAGCCTACAATTAAAGGAATTGTCTGCCATTCACAGAAGATCCTGGATTGACACTTAGGAACCCAAGTAAACCCAAAACAAATCAAGACTTTACTTTGAAATAATGAGGTAGTATTTCTTAATCTTGAGTAATATTTGGTTATCTGCTAAAACAAAAAGTTTCCTAAGTAATACGGTGCTGACAAATTATTTATACTATAATTTCATTTCCATATTTGCAATTATAAAATGATGAAAACAGTATTTATTTTCATGGCTTCATAATACAGAAAACCAATTTACAAGATTAAGTAAAAGCAAGACCATAAACTAAATATATTAAAATGAGCTATATTAATGAAATGATCAATGTTATTTTACAGAAACAAAAAAAGCTACATTCCTCATGAATATACTACTAACTGATCTGGTCAAGGTTCTTTGAGGCAACGTTCTTCTAGTACTTTTGGTGTGTAATAACTCATTTATTCTACCACAACTTTTCTATATTGAAATTACGACAAAATCTTAGTGTACCATGATAAATTTTGTTCTTCAACTGGTCCTCATACATTATTTATAAATTTGTACTATTTTATTTCTTATTAGTCTTCAATCATTGAATATTATTAACTGCTGCCAATGTGATGGTAACTGCACCCATACCATGGAGGTGTGAAATCTCATGGGAGTACTTGGTTATAAGGTGGTTATTCAGATGCCCCACTAGTTGTCCCTCTTAATATTTTTAAATTGTCATCAAACTTTATTATTATAGAATTTCAGGAATATATGCACAAGCTCCCAGTTTCAGTACAAATCTTTTGGGTGAATAGAAAAAAATAAAAATATATATTTTTCTACAGTTCAATGTTTCTCAAACTTTTTTCTACAGAAATGTTTTTGATGAAAAAAATAGTTTCTTTTTTTGTTTGTTTGTTTTTGATATGAAACACTTCACAAATTTGTGTGTCATCCTTGCGCAGGGACCACACTAATCTTCTCTGTATCATTTCAATTTTAATATATGTGTTGCCGAAGCAAGCACGAAAAGTAGTTTCTTTTTTTTTTTTTAAATATATTTTATTGATTTTTTACAGAGAGGAAGGGAGAGGGATAGAGAGTTAGAAACATCGATGAGAGAGAAACATCGATCAGCTGCCTCCTGCACGCCCCCTACTGAGGATGTGCCCGCAACCAAGGTACATGCCCTTGACCGGAATCGAACCCAGGACCCTTCAGTCCGCAGGCGGACGCTCTATCCACTGAGCCAAACCAGCCAGGGCAAAAAGTAGTTTCTTGATCAAATGTGTTTGGGAAGTACTGAGCTAAACCAAATTTAAGAGGACTTTTTAGAGCATGCATTATAAATATCCTAAGTATTAATACAATATGTAGTAGTGCTCACTCTTAATTGAGCACAAGATCCTTCCTTCCTTCCTTCCTTCCTTCCTTCCTTCCTTCCTTCCTTCCTTCCTTCCTTCCTATGGCAGAGAGACTGAAAGATGAACCCTAATGATCACTGTGCCTCCTGGTGTTCATAGGCCTGTGTAATTTGTTTCCCTCAAGTGTGGGCAGGGCTTGGATCTTGCTTGTAACCAATAGAATATGGAAAAAAGTGATGGGATGTCATTTCTGTGATTGCATTACATAAGATTACAACTTCTATCTTGCTAGCTGACTCAGTCTATTACCTTCTCAGCTTGCAATCTGATGCAGCAAGTGACTGTATTGGACAACCTCATATGGCAAAAAATTGATGGGTTCCTCTAGCCAAAAATCAACTAGGGCCCTAACTGGTTTGGCTGAGTGGATAGAGCGTTGGCCTGCAGACTGAAGGGTCCCAGGTTCGATTTTGGTCAAGGGCCTATGCCCGGGTTGTGGGCTCAATCCCCAGTGGGGGGCATGCAGGAGACAGCCAGTCAATGATTCTTTCTTATCATTGATGTTTCTATCTCCCTCTCCCTTGCTCTCTGAAATCAATAAAAATATATTTAAACAAAACAAAACAAACAAACACAACTAGGAACTGAGAACCACAGTCAAATAAGCTTTTAAGTTCCAAATTCTGTCATCTGAACTTGGGAGAAAATAGTTCCTCAGTCAAGCCTTAGAAAAGATGCCAGCTTATAAAGGTCTTCAAGCAATAGACCCTAGCTAAGTTATCCCCAGACTCCTGACCCCAAGAAACTGAGAAATAGTAAATGTATTTTATTGGAAGCTGCTATATTTGAGCTAATATTTTTCATAGCAATAAAAATCAACAACAGTAGACTTTGTCTCCCATCATGGAACCTCTTAAAATAAAACACAGTTTGCTTGGGGAAGGTTACTCTAATCTATATAGTTGAGTGAGATTCATAGCCAAATTGAGGCTATCCCACAAATATTTGGAAAAGTTAACTGCATATTCCACTCCCATTTAGAAATATAAAAGCATTTTCTTGCAACAAGAAAGACAAGATACTCATAGGTTCACTAACCGCGTTTTCTAATTAGGAATGGGAGACAGACCAAGAGTTGAGTGAATTAGGCTGGTTTGTACTTTGCCATGTTTATCTTGTTTTCTATATTGAGAGTGTATTACTTTAAATATAATTTGACTTATTTTAAAAGTATAACTTTAAAAGTTACTAAAACTAAATAAAACACTTAGAAAAATGCCTACTATTCTTAAGCTCCATATAAGTATTTACTATTACTATGATGATTATTACTGAATGAGTAATATATGACTAGTATACTGTATTAATTCTGACTGAGTCATCTTAATAAGCATAATGGAGTATATTTAAAAGAGAGCTACTGAGCCCTGGCTGGGTGGCTCAGTTGCTCGGTGCATCGTCCCATGCACCAAAAGGTTGTGGGTTCGATTCCTGGTCAGGACTCATACAGGAGGCAACTGGTAGATGTTTCTCTCTCACATAGATGTTTTTCTCTTTCTTCCTCTCTCTCAAAACCAATAAAAACGTGTAAGGATTAATAAATAGATAGATAAAAGAAAGCTACTGAGATATTGACAATTCCCCCAACAATGCTACAAGTAACAATATAGATCAAGTGAAGGAGCAGAATGCAAAGGGAGTCTTAAATGCCTAAAGTCCAGTGATGGCGAACCTTTTGAGCTCGGCGTGTCAGCATTTTGAAAAACCCTAACTTAACTCTGATGCCATGTCACATATAGAAATGTTTTGATATTTACAACCATAGTAAAACAAAGATTTATATTTTTGATATTTATTTTATATATTTAAATGCCATTTATCAAAGAAAAATCAACCAAAAAAATGAGTTCACGTGTCACCTCTGACACACGTGTCATAGGTTCGCCATCACTGGTAAACCCTACAGGTTCAGACAGAATCTGTACTAGAAAACTGCCTTATATGCAGCTGACACTGTCACCACAATGCAGTTTTATTAAGAGGTTTCTCACACATGCATTTAACCAAAAAACAACTAACTACCCACTCACTAACCAAAAGGGAAAAAAAAGAAAATAAAAAAAGAAATCCTGCCATTCAAAAATACAAGCTGACCAGCCTACAAATGACTAGTAGCACATCAGACAGAGGAAAACATTAAAATAAAATAAAAATGTAGTCCAGTAAGTTGTGGTTCCTGGGGCCTGATTTGATAGCTTCAGCCAACTCTTAACCACAGCCCAAAGGGATTTCAACAACTGAATTCTTCTCTCATTCATAAAGTATGTGCCTGGCTCCAACTCTCCATTTGCAATAAGGAGGGATCATCCAGGAAAACACCCCTCGTGCTCAATGTCTGTGGCTCATAGTAAGAAGAATCATTTTGCCGTAAATATCTCAATGTCATAAAGGCATGACAGGGATATGCTGACTAACAAGCCCTTATATGAGCACAACCCTTTAAAGTTTACCAAAAACTTCACATTCATCCTCTCCAACAGTAGCTATCCTTGTTGTACAGATGGGGAGCATAGGGCCCTGGGAGATTGAGTCTCTAGTTATCCATCACTTCAGAGCACATAAGACTGAGGCAATCCAGGAAACCTGGTCTCCTGATTCCAAGTCCAAAATTAGTTCTACTATACCCCACTGGCTCTGGGATTATTATCAAGCAGGACCTTTGGAAAACTGATGACTGAAAAGAGAATAGATAAGTGATAGATGTTTTTTAGAAGTTTACATGTATGTTCCATGGACTAGAACAGGGGTCCTCAAACTTTTTAAACAGGGGGACAGTTCACTGTCCCTCAGACGGTTGGAGGGCCGGGCTATAGTTTAAATAAAACTATGAACAAATTCCTATGCACACTGCACATATCTTATTTTGAAGTAAAAAAACAAAACAGGAACAAATACAATATTTGTATTTGCATGTGGCCCGCGGGCCGTAGTTTGAGGACCCCTGGACTAGAGTCACCCTGGGCCACTGCCATCTTAATACGTGGGATCTGTCCAATATGAATATGACTAACTACTGTTAGGTAACCAAAGTAGATGGCAATGTCTTTGTGGAAAATGAGAAAAGCTGAAATACATTCTACTCTGTAAAGCACGCATCCTTTCTTGTCTCCCTGACACCTGCTTTCAGCCAGGCTATGATAGGAAAGTGTTTTCTGGTTGGGAACTTTCTGTCTACCACTGTTCTTAATTTAGACACTATTTAGGTCTCTAGTGACTGCACCCAAAGCTTTCAGTGGATTCCCAGAGAACATTGTAAGGTCCGTTGGCCTAATTCAACTAAGAAAATTAAGCAGAAATGATAGAATTTGGTAACCCAGCCAATCATGATCTTTCTCCATCCTGTGTTGTCTTCTATTCAACTCTTCCCATTAATCCTCCTCATCAGTTGCTGGACATCAGATTCCTGGGTAGGCAGAAAAATAATGCTTTGAAATTTGGCAACTCTTCTGGAGTTTCCCAAACCTTTACAGCAAAGTTCTGGCTTATTGTCATGTACTTCCTGGGCGACTTCTTGGCTTAAATAGCAGCATGAACTCTGGCTGACCATGAAGCACTTATGAAACAGCGTGGGCTTTGTGGCTACAAATTAAGGTCCAGGTCAGATTAGATGATCATATTATCCTGTTTACTACCTCAAACTGACTTGGAAACTAAGGAAGGAAAGGGCTGGGAAATATGAGCTGTAGAGAGCCAGTAGTTTTCAAATCCGCTAGAACCGTGGTCAGCAAACTGCGGCTCGTGAGCCACATGTGGCTCTTTGGCCCCTTGAATGTGGCTCTTCCTAAGCCTTAGGAGTACCCTAATTAATAACAATGTACCTACCTATATAGTTTAAGTTTAAAAAATTTGGCTCTCAAAAGAAATTTCAATCATTGTACTGTTGATATTTGGCTCTGTTGACTAATGAGTTTGCCGACCACTGACTGCTAGAAGAATGTGCTGACAAGCTTCTTTCTGGGAAAGTAGTACTGTACTTCCTCTCCATGAGAGATTCTGCAAAATTATTTAATTTGGATTATTTTTGATATCTAGACACTTCTATGTTCCAGCCTCAGATGAAGAAGAGAGAATGGGGTTTTGATTCAAAAGCCTGGGCTTAAATGCCTGGAACCTATTCTGAGCTGTGAGACTTTGGAGAAATCACCAAATGTCTGAGTCTGGTTTTTCTTGTCTATGAAGTAGGGATACTTTTCTCACATGAGATGCTGCCATTATTAAAAGGAATTGTGGCCCTAACCAGTTTGGCTCACTGGATAGAGCGTCGGCCTGCAGACTGAAGGGTCCCAGGTTCGATTCCGGTCAAGGGCATGTACCAGTAGGGGGTGTGCAGGAGGCAGCTGATCGATGTTTCTAACTCTCCCTCTCCTTCCCTCTTTGTAAAGAATCAATAAAATTTATTAAAAAATAAAAATAAATAATTAAAAATAAATAAAAGGAATTGTGGGTATTATAGGGTGTGTGATTGTCTAACCACTATGCTGTACACCTGAAACTAATACAAAATAATATCGCATATAAAAATTTTTAAATAAATACAATAAAATGCTTTGTGCATGAATTTGTTTGAGAAATTGTTGATCTTAAGTAAGCATATGATCCTCTG